TCTCAATCTTGAATTTATGAATTCTGAATAATCAAAAATTTAATTTATAACTTTCAATCTTGAAAATGTTAAGAATTAGAAATATTCCTCAAGTCTCAATCCTGAAATTAGAAATCAGGAATATTCCTGAATTCGACAATAAGTAATGCAAACTTTTATCATCTCCAAAAAAGTAGAAATTTTCTCCCAAAATCACAGGTCCCCGAGGCAACTTAAGTACTACAACTTCACTATTGAATTGAAAAATCGATATTCGACTAGAAATTCTTTTTTTCCCTAAAACAATGATTAATGGCTCGAAATCTAGAAAGTGAATTGAGTTCACGTATGAATCATACTCATCATTATCCACCAGGAGGAAGGATGACCGAAAAAATGTTCGGGAGGTCGTTCTTTCAATCATTCACTCGTCATAACAAAATCATCATTTTATAAACGCGACACGCCGGCTGTCAATATCAAATCCGAAATAATTTTCCTTTAATCTCCGTGCATTTATCAACCCCATCATTATCATTGTTATCATCACCGGGGTCATCTGAGTATCTCGTTTCATATCATCTTGATCATCTTGTGTCATTGATTTACATTTAATTTTAGAGTCCACTTTCAATCATTATATGTATATTATCGCATCTTAACTTTTAAGAATTTTTATTTATTCATTAATTTTAAAAACTTCATTTTTTTTATTTCACTTTTTTTTACTCTTTGGCGGTTAATTATTTAAAATATGTTTTTGTTTGTTTACTTTATTTCTCATTCAGCTACTTTTCTTCTTTTTTTTTATCTATTCAATATTATCATTTTATTTTCAGTTATATGCATGATCTTTTCATTTATATTAACCATGTAGGTAGTATAGATTATTATCTTATATGGTAATAATGATAATAAAAATAATAGTAATAATTATAATCGTAATTCATAATTCATAATAATTGTTTTTTTTATTTATAATATATGTATAATATTTATATTATTTATATAATTGTGTATGCAAACGTACATATATGAATCCTTTCCGCTAGACTGGCACATATGTACGTGTGCATACATGTGTCCTTTGTTTATTACGCCTAAATGGCCTGCTATATAAAACTATGCTATGCAATTCGTCTCTATAACGCCCGATAATAATTATCCTTGCCCTTTTGCGCATTATTCATGTTGATTAGATTTTGTTAATTTTCCTCCGTGTTTTTTTAAAATGTAATTGTTTGTTAATAACACTGGGTTATCCCCACTCTTCCCTCGGATTTTCTTATACACGTTACTGATTCGTCGATTCGTGGACGCGCGGATATGATGCCCATTATTCACCGAGAAATCCTTATTTTTTTGGTAAGGAAGAAAACTTGATAATTCGGTTTAGGAAGGGATGATGAGTGGAGTTGAGGTTTTTTAAGGTTTGTTTAGAAAGGAACGGTTGGTCCCCGGATGAATTGAAAAATGACCGGGCTAGATTCCGTGGGAATCAGGAGGGATTTTGCACGCGTCTAGAGGAAATTCGGTTTTGATTAGGAGTTGAAATTTGAGAGTATTTCTTGGGAATTCCTCAGGAATTAGAGATATTCTTGATTTAGGATTAGGAATTAGGAATATTCTCGATCCTGAAATTAAGAATCAGGAATATTCCTGATTCTCAATCTTAAAATAAGGAATCAACAAACCCTGAAATCTAAAAGCTATTTTTCACATTAGATTTTTTTTATTTCAATTCTGTAGTTATAATTCAAGAATAGTCTTCAATCGTTGTGACTGTGAAATTAGGAATCAGACGTTTTTGTAAACCGTCAATCCTGAAACAAAGAATCCGGAATATTTCTGAATTCTCAATCCTAAAATTAGGAATCAGCAAATCCTGCATCCTAAATCTCATTTTTCAGATCAGAATTCTTCACCTCAAAAACTGGTCATAAAAAGTCACAAAATTAGGAGTCATCAGGATTTAACTCCTGAACGTTCCGCTAATAATTTTCCTATTAACCAAACATCCAACTTTAGTCGCGCGAAATATCAAAGCTCAGGATGGGCACCTGCCTACGCGTGTTTAGGAGTGATGACACGGCCACAGAAGGATTTTTTTCCTCTTCTGTACAAGTGTACCAAATCTTCAAGCTTCACCATTAAGACTTGATCAATCATGTTTCATTGTTACAATTACAGTGTACAAGAGATGTGGACCTCGCAAATTATCATTTTATATACAGACGAATCTCTAGTGTCAACAATTCCCTAAATTTTTCATTTTAATAATTCTCTCCAATGCGTGTATACCTCTCGTGGATTGTAATGCCAGCTTTCCTGTTTGAATCACATAAACCGAACAAATGATTGGATTTTTCCATCGAAAATCTCAATAGTCTCACTTCCAATTATTCTCCATACGAAGTAATCAAACTAAATGAAAACAATGCACAGTTGGAAATATGAATATCGCGCCGGTGATTTGATTATGACATTAAGGGTACGTATTCTCACGTTTTAAGTCTATTCAGTATTCATGTGTAAGTCTGTAGTAAAGAGATAGTACAAGGGATTCTTTTATTTCCTCACAAGCTTCCTCTTAATAAGAATTCTCACATTATTCATAATACGAGATTTTTTTTATTTACTTTTTCTTTTTTACGCAAATAATTGCAAAAAACATACCCTGTTTCCTAAAATTCGCCTGAACACGTTTAAGCATCAGTATTAAAATTACTTCTCTGTTGCACATCCATTTGGCGTGTCCGCGCGCGACATTAAATTCCAATTGAATTTCACGTCAAATTGGGCATTCGGTTGAAACGCGATGTACAGTCGATTAGAGGGGCGGGGGAGGGAGGGCAGGTTTAGATGATGGAGGGGGCAAGGCTTGTCTATTTCTTTTTTAATCTTTTTTTTTTTCATTTATTTCCCTGTATCAGCCATTTCGAATTGTCATACTCTGCAATTTGTGTTATGTATTTAAGTGTGTAGTTACTGCAATGTTGTTTCAATACAAAAGAAAAAAAATCATTATCGACTTCATTCCACGAGTGCATTTGTCTCATCCAAATACCAATCGATTGACATTCATCCCCTCGTTTTGTCTCTCGTTTAATCGTCTTCATCGATGAATCACACGTCATGTAAAAATAAATTCAAAGCTTGATTTTTCTTTTTTCTCTACGATTTTTCGAGACTTAGAATTGAACTGTTTTTTAACATTTTTATTTCATTTTTTTTACTCTATCAGTATCAAGGTAATTTTTTTCATATTGAAAGATGCCACACTACATCGTTCCTCCTGTTCACTAGCAAAAAAATTTCATCTCGATAAAATAGCTGTCATGATTATTTATCTTTCATGTATATCTCATAACAAGATACAGATTTTCCATCTTTCATTGTTTCTCTGTTTTAGCATGGTCACTAATTTCATTAAACACTAGGTATTATTGTAATCGTTAAATTGTAAAATCATGTTCATTTTTTTTTTTTTCATTTTCCATGCCTCCTCGTTTTAAAAAGCTTACATTCGTAGTGATATTATTATTTGGTGCTCGCATAAGTATTTGTTACCAATTCCGTTATAACCTTGGTGAAATTGGTGATGGTTTTACGCGCGAATTAATTTATATTTTAATTCATTATTCATTCAAATCCCTCCAGTTCCATTGTTCAACGATCTGGTATTATTCTCAGCCCCGTCGTCACAATCAATCCCTATTAACATTTCAATTTCCTTACAGCCAGGAAGAGTTAAATAAAATGGAAAAATAATTGCTGAAAAAATTCTAGATAGCGTGACTCAGTTATTTCAACGTTTTTTTTTATTCCAAATTATTTTTTCCTCTGTTCAATTATTTCTACGTCGTATCTAAGCCCGGACTTTTGACTCTACAATTCATCGCGGTATTGTTACTATTATCTCTTTAAGTTCATATTTTCTTTTACAAACGCAACTGGCGAAATGTGCGTATGTATTTACAATTTTTTCTTTCCTCCGCGCATGTATTTACAACGCACGATTGTTTCGTGTTTTTTTTTAATAGTACATACGTGTAGATGTGGACCGTTGCGATGCTCAGGCGTTGGGAATTATTCGTGCCGTTCAGCTCCAACTTGGCGTCAAAAACTCTCACACATTTTGTATTCAAATCTATTGACGGATTTTTTTTGAAAATGCGTGGAGTTGCTAATAATTTTTTTTTATCAACGCCATCTCGCAAATTTTCTCTATGTACGTATTAAATAATGCTTAGTATAATCTCAACCATTTCTCCAATTTATATCCGTATTATCAGATTATATTGTTTGATGCCTTTTATTTAAACTCGATTTCAATTGTTTATTCATTCAATAATTGGTTACGCGTTAACATAACATTATTAATTCGTGCCACCGTTGGTACCACTAAGCTTTGGTGATAATTTTCAATAACAACATGTTGTTTACACTGATTTCTTGCGCACTGTCGAGGTCAACATTGATTCATCATTAATTTGTCGTTTACCAACATTTCAGTTTATTCACTTGAATTTCATCACTGCATTTAATTCTCTGATAATTCATTATTTAGTCTAAGTGATTTTTCTCTTTCAATAAAACTATAATTAATAATTCGCTAAGCCCCTAGTTTGACTCTCGATCAATATATTAATTCTTTATATTTATATATTTATATACGCATAAATTCATATGCTTTCAATGCTTTTTTTTTACATTTTCCTTTTTTTCACGTTTTTTCCTCCCTTTTTGGTTTCATCTTTTAATAGTAGTAATATTTGGTACTTTGGTTGATTATTTTCTCTAGGTTAGAGCAATCACTGCGTTTTGTCAAAACGGTCGTTCGATCGTTTTTAATCCCTTACCACCCCACCCGCCCCCTGTGATAGCATCACTCTCGGGATTGCCATGGTATGACCTCAATTGAATTTATTTATTGGCGTGTGTCGCTAAAAAATCAAAAATTCTTTCAAACAAAAGTGTAAAATAAAGAAATATAACAGTTGACTAGGTAAAAATTTTGTTTGAAAGATTTGAGATTTTTCAAAATCTTCATTGAATCATTTATTCAATTGAAATAAAAAATGAATTTCAACGGGCATTGCTCCACTTATCGTTTTTATCCCTCGTTTTTTTACATTTTTCACAGCCTGATTGCAATTCCTCGAGAGATACCAACCCGACAGTGATTTATTGGACGTCATTATTTGGTTTTATTTTAATTATACTATTCTCTTTCGACATTATTATGCTCGATCGAACGAACGTGATCTCTCTATTTCCATATTTTTGGACTAGTTTTCTTTGGTTAATTCAAATAATATATCACGCCCCACGTCTGCGCTAATGACTGAATCGATATGAATTTGAAAAATAGCTTTTGGAAATTTTATTTGTGGTCAAGTGATTGGAAAAATCTTTTGACAGTGTATGGAGTCAGTTTGAGAGACATTGCGTTCATGATCCATTACCGAAGAAAGAACGCACTTGAGAGGATACACTTCTCTTTCAAAACGAGCTTGAGGACGCGACGCCGTTGGCTACAAACTACCAGTTTGTGGTTTTTTTTAAATTTTTCCTATCGTGGTATATAAAACCTACTACCTCGATATTTTAAACTTGATGTATAATTATATATTATTATGTATAATATATTATGTATATTTATATTTATTTATATGCGTATCGTGAGAATAGTTCTGTATTTTGTTCAATATCCTGTAGTGGATTTTTTATTCTCTGGATTTCGTCTTTTTTTCCTTCGGTTTATTTTCAATTATTCTTGTTTGTGCGATGCCCATGGAGGAAAAACGTCAACTAGACGAATTATTTTCCACTCCACTTACCCCTGTCGATTGTCCTCATGGATAAGACGAATGACTTTCGGAATTCTCCTCGATTTATCCAGAATTATGGCGATATTTAACGTGGATAGTTCAGACATTCTTCAGTTTATTTGGTTATGGTTATTATGTTCCTCTGTATCCTCTTTCTATTGCCGGCAAGCCCTCTGTCGGAGGCGTCCATAATTAGAGATAACCTCTCTCGTTCAGCTTGATACTTGCTATATTTAATCTCTAGAGAATTAACTAACTAGTATACTAGATTGTTACGGTGAAGAGTATTGTTGCGATGATTCGTACTCTTCACGGTTGATCGTCGAGCGTCCAATGGGCACCCATTTTCATTCGTGGTCTGTAATTAATGGATAAAATCGAAATTAGTTCCATTGAGGGAAGAACATTAATTCTAATCACTATTTTTGCAGTTAAGTTTCACGAAAAAAATTTATTGTCCGGAGTCGTTCAAAATGAGAATTTTGTAATTTTAGTAGTGGAGTATAAGATTTCGGACAAATTAATAGTTCACTAGACATATACGTACTCTACAACCAGTGACGTAGGGCGTGACCCGGCCAGGATATCTAGGCTAGGTCGTGGGTTAGTACGGCTTGGTGTCCTTGGGCCTCTTCAATTGTACCTTTAGTCGCTTCATCCCTATTTGGAAGCCGTTCATCGCCTGAATCGCCGCCTGTGCACTCGCTTGATTATCAAATGACACGAAACCTAAACGAGAAAAACAAAATGTCATCAAAATAAATTAACCAATTTACGTAACGAATCGTCTCTCCGTGAAATTGAAAAAAAAAGAGAAATACTCGAGACGATATTGAACTTGGAGTCCTTAAGGTCTGAATTTTCCATTTGAAATAAAAAACTTTTAATGAACTATATTATCCGGAGTTCACCAAGGCTAAGAAGAGGGAGAGGGAGGAGCAATCGGGCCGTCATAACGAAGGGACTTTGCCGAAAAGTCTTTTCAAGAAAAGGCTGAACGAATTTCGAAGCCGTTAGGAGCAGAAGTTTTTTTCTTATCGAGATTATGAGGAGTCTCTCGTGAAATTTCTCTCCATTAACAAGCGTTATGCACTGTCTTATTGGTTTCCACAGAATTTTAATGAAGTTTGAGACACTCGACAAGAAGTGAGTTACATTACGCAAAATTAGGACAAAGAAAAAACTCGAGTTTTTATTTTTACGCGAAATTAGTTTCAATAAATTCAGTGCAAAGTGTAAATTCAATTGTATAAAAGTTAAATCATGTAAAGGATCGATTGTGTATGGGAAATAGCCGAGGGAGTATCTCGTATCTCCCGCGGAGAATCACGTTTATATCAGAACGCACAAAGGATATCTCCGGCGATAGGCATTTCGTTGGTGCGATTCTTTCTCTCTCTTTTTTTTTATCCTGTACGAACTATAAAAGGAATGTGATTCGACGGCTCCAGGGTAGGCGTTTATGGAAACGACATTCTGACCCGGGCACACAGACGCAATGGAGGGGTTCTAACTCCCAACTACTATCACTTTTTTTTTCCTCCCTCCTTTTTCTCCTATAGTCCAGGGTACGAGTATAGCCTCCGGGGTGGATATATTCGAAGCTGGATGACCGGAGATAGGGCTCTAGTAGGTTGAGGCACTCGGAGAGATAAAATCGTTCCTGCTTCTCGCTTTTCTCTACTTGTCTCCCTCACTCTACGGCATCCCCATCGAACCAGGGATGGTTATACTATATATAGGGGCTGCAACCCCTTTCAATGAAGTGAAGACCGATCGATGGTTTTACTACCGTAGGGGGAGAAAGATTTTTTCTTTGCTAAATTAATGAGAAAAAGTTTCTACGTTAAGCTTGAGGAGTGTTACTATTTAGCTAATAGATGTATCGTTATTTAACGTCGGTGTTTTTTTTCATTTTTTCGTCTGTGAAAAATAAATGATAATAGTGAAGATCATCTTGACATGAAGATCATGAAGATCGTCTTGAAGTGATGGACGCCAGAATAGCATTCGTTTTGATGAAAGTCTCGAGAATACTTGTCTGAAGAACGGCTTTAATGAATATTAGATTGAAATTTTGTGAAATTACTCAAGTTTTCATGTTATTTCAACAAAAGCTATGGCGAGGGGGGTCTTATTGACTTTGCACTTGCACTTGAAAACTGTAATTCTCTTCAAGGAAAGTTGGAATTGTTGAGGAGATGAAACTTCTCTTCGTTTGGAATTTCAAGTTTGATTACTAGTGATTACAATTAAAATCTAGGATAAAATGAAATCTGGGTATTCTTAATTGGGTTTCACGGTTCGATATCAAGGCGTTTTTGATAGTTTTGGTCATGTAGTCAGTAGTTGAGCAGTGGCAAATTGGTTGTCGGTTTCGTTAAAACGATTTATGAGTCAATCCCGCTCAAAGAATTGCTCACAATGTTCGCACCGCAGCTTAGAGTTTCAAATCATGATGCCGTTATGTGAGAAACTTTTCATTAGATAATGAAATCGATTCAGGAATATGGAATTAGGCATTCGCTTCTTCATGACGTAGATTTCTGCTTCCGAAATTGCTCACACGGTTGCTCGGAATTGGTTTTATGGTCCAAATCCATGATTAGATGGAATCATCCAATAATTTATCAACTTACCGAAGCATTTACTTTGATTAGTCGCTCGATCGATGAATACTTTTGATGAGATAACACTGCCAAATGGCATAAACATCTGCATCAGCTCAGTATCACCAAACTCCTGGGGCAGGTGGTAGATGAACAGGTTACAGCCCTCGGGTCCTGACAGAGAGCATCCTATCATATAAATCAGAGCACATCTAAACAACTAACCTTGAAGTATAATACTCAAGTTATAATGTTTAATCTTTAATCTCTCAATGAATTTTTAATTCCTTGTATTTTATGCCGCCTGTACCGAGTCGCCGAGTCGCAGTTCCATGTGGTGCCGATCAAAATTAGTTAAATATTATTCTCAAATAACTATCGGTCATTAGCAAGAGCAACAGATTAATCATATTAATTAATGAACTGATTGGATGATGAATGAATGATTTGATGATTTGGTGATTATGATCTTAATTCTAACCAATGAAATGAATGAATGGATGGTTTCCTTCATCGACCCCAAATGATCTCAAATCAATGACTGAATGATCCAATAAAAATGACGAATACTGATAAGCACAAATGAATGTTACAATGAACGATAAATGAATTTGAATCGATAACAGGCAGAATGAAAGTGACTTTGAGGCATTTAACTCTCGTACAGCCGGAGCTTTTGTTCATCAATGCAATGACTGAATCAATTATTCTCAATAAAAAATCAGGAGAATTGGATTTCTCTTTTTTTTTCATGTAACGTTGAGTATTTATACTTTCAATTGTACACACACAAACACGGGGATACACAAGACAGGCATTTGGATAAGTTCATTCATCTCATGTACAAGGTTCTTTGGTGGTAATGATGATGATAATGAGAATGATCATGACGTATGGATGATTGGGTGGCGCTATCTCTCGACATTTATCATGATTCCCTCCGGCGATAGTCAACTCGATAGCCAGAATAAGTGAACAAAACAGATCATAAATAGTTGATGAAGAACTGCTTGAACTCGCTGGTTATTTCGCCGGTTTGCCGTCTGGATTAATCATGCAATTATGATTACAAACTTCAAAGTTTCGCGGAAGTGTTCCATTGGGAGTCCTTTGCAATGGGCCACCGAGTGGCGAACGTATTCCGCATTTCCCCGTATTTTCGGTTTAACTGAGGAGGGGGCTAGGACTTTTAGTCTCAGCATTTCGCTAATCGCTGTTCGTAATTTTATGTCTCTGAGGAAATACATCTAGGTAAAACCTTAACTGAATCTAGTGCGGTTCAACGTATGTCCCTGTAGACCTGGCAATATACTCGGTGTGATATAGCTCTGAATGATGTTATTATTCCGTATATTGGAATATTTCAATGTTAATAAGCCGAAAAAATTTTAGTCAATTTGTGACATTCAGGGGTTGACGGGAAATGGATCGAAAAATAGAATCAAGTGCTTTGTTCCATTACGTTGTTGAACGGAAAAATGATATCGATGTTGACTCAAAATTATCATAATGGTGTAATATATAATGAATGAACATTCAGTGTGCAAGATAATATCGTTAACACCGACAACGGTAACACGCTCTTCTTTCTATACATAAATGACCATAATGAGTATACCAACATATTGATGTGACACGTAAACAATTAATTGGATAAATCAATATCGATGTCGGTTGTACTGTGTGGAAGCTAGACACAGCGCAAGTAAATAGTGAAAAATGTGTCTTCGAGGCGGATTGAAATGGAAACCACATGAATTCAGCAATAAAGTGAGGCAATATAATAGAGCAGTCGTTTTTTCCGGCATCTGATATTGAATTATTTCGATAACGAGTGATTTTAGAGGCAATCAATTTTTATTCCACTCAAATTTCAAGAAATTTCGTCATTGCAAGTCCTAATTCCATGAAAAAATCAATGAGAAAATTAATAGACATCACTAGGCTTCCATTGAATTTATTCTTAAATTATCGATTAATTGAAAATTCAAATAAATATGAAATTAACTTTTTTTTAAATCACTCATTGTCAGGATAATTCCACATCTTGAAATTTTATTTTTCATCTTTTTACTACTGAACTGCAGCGCTATATCTCAGTAATAGAAAACATCTTGATAATGGGCTAATCGATCTGATTAATATTTAGTCATCAAGCAAAAAAACAGTCAAAACAGTCAACTCAGCATCATGCTCTGATCACTATTGCCCGGTTAATATTATTATTTCGTCGGACTTATGGTGCGGGAGATGGCGGGCTCGATTACCGACCGTCTCGGTTGATATCTTTCATGAAAATATATCCGAGTATTGAACACATATTAACTAAGATCCAAATATTATTCCATTAAAATGGAATAAATTGATGAGCAATTAATGAATAATTAAATAAATTCTCCGACATTAAATAGTGTTCGAATAACCTGCCAAATATGAATGCATCGGAAGCTAAAATTGTTCGATGAATAACCGTTTGGAGCATGGAAATAAGGCGATGCTAGTGCGCGGTAAACTTTCCATTATCACAGTCATGTTACAGTGCCGTCGGGCACACCGGCAAAGTAATTAAAACTTTCTTTTTATTTGCATTATCTCATTGTAAGCCATCGTATATTGTAATAATGGCGAGTTGTTAATTGCAATTAGGCGCTACCCCTAAACCTTTTCTCTCTCTTTCACTTTTATCAGCCACCCAGAATCTTGTTTTCTTTTCACTGGTGGATAAAGGCTCGGGCGAGCCTGACAATTCTACCCGCCATTCCCCATCATTTTACAGGATCTACATTCTCCTAGTTCTAGCATTTTTAATTGCGTGAGGAATCGTTAACGACGGACGAGGACGAGTTCAAACTGAGATAATTAATTCGACGTTACTATTGAACTGAATGAATTTTATTTTATTTAGCTTCATTGTTATTATTATCATCATGGGAGAGTTGTTTCATTTATTTAAGTTTTTTTTTGTTTTTCTCTTCTTTGTTTTGTTGGAAGGGGGGTTGAACATATATTACTGGATCTGATAGTTCTACATATGGATAAACACACAGAACAAACACGTCTTTTGCAAATAACAATCAACAGCCAACAACACTTGTCATCATATAGAGTACTTTTTTTATTTTAATTAATTATCGTCGTTATGTTTCTCTTATTTTCCCTGAAACTTACCTTCTCTCTGCGTCGGTGCAACCGCTGTCATCGGCTGAGGTATGGCCTGGGGAAACTGGCCGTAGACGGCGCCATAAGCTGCGACAATAACAAATAACAGTGACATCATGAAAAACGGTGAAACATTGAGAAATAAAAATATAAATGATATTGAAACAAAAATTGGGATAATATCGCGTGCGACAGCGAGTCATATTTATAGGGGGAAAAAATTCTGCCATGCACCAAAACAACCAGTATTTTTATTTATATTATCCTATATTTTTCCTCTCTCTGCGTATTATCTGTCGAAATAGACTCTGGATAACTGATACGGTGGATGTGCTCCTTTACTCGTCACGAAAATATTTATTCTGCTTTTTATAGAACAGGTGATTGATAACATTTCGGTTTATTCGAAGAGTTAAAAATTGTTTGACCATATGAATGTTTTTTTGAGCTCAAACGAAAGAGCGGGTCGAGAAATGGCGTGCTAGGACCTCTAACGATGGTTTTGAACGAGGGGAGACTCCTAGACCCCAATAATCTATACATACTCCTAGACCCCATTGTCCTCCTAGACAATGATGTCACAACTCTGCTGTTCAATTGAAAACAGACATCATCTTTAGAGACATTTGTCATGTTTAGAGGCTCTGGCACGTCATTTCTCGACCCGCTCTTTCATTTGAGCCAAAAAAACATTCATATCTTGTCTGACATCTCTGCTACAAACTCTGGTCATCAACTCTGGTTTTCAGTTGAAATTGGAATTGTTAATTTACACAATAATAGGAGTGCATTGACGATTTTTTCTTAACTCGCAAAAATCTTCAAACAATTTGCTACCGATTGGTGATAAAATTTTGTGGAAATAATGAAGTAGGGGGGATAACGCCTTTTTTTTCAGTAGGAGATTTTTCAAAAATTTATTTTAAAAAAAGTCCTAACTAGCAAATGTTTTTTATTAGCTCGCAATTC